CTAGAAAATATCATCATGAATTAGGGGATAACTAAAGGTGTAGCAAAGTGAAACACATCATCATGGCTTTTGATGATCAGACTGGTTAGGCAGTCGCTTTATCAGTTTGCATTGTCGATTCCTATTCATATTGTAGAAAGATTGGCCATCTTCTAGAAATGAATAGGGATAGATCGGCATCCAAGAGGCAATATGGATCGTCCCTACTTCGGTTGCACGCCTTCTTGGGCCTGTTTCCGCAGATTGGCCCAATTGTTGTACTCTTTTTACATTGATGGGTCAACCCAAAATATGGGTGATTTTTTACGGGGAATTTTTATGTTTACCACAAGATTTTAAAATATTTGTATTTGTACCAAGGTGTAGATTTTATTTGCGTTCCTACCAAATGCATTACATTTAGTGAATAGTCAAATTTCAGTTACTAAATAAAACTAATGTAACGTGTTCCTTAAATTGTGCAGGAATGGGGATATAGGATTTGCACTAAAAAAAACAAAAGATATGGTAAGTTTATATATCCTTTTAATTAGGAAATTGTTTCAATACAAAATAAAAAGATAAGGAATTTGAATATCAAACAACGTCATCTTCTAAATACATATAAAATACACAGTCACAATTATATACAAAAGATATACTCATTATATACCGACGACATACAGAAAATACACAACAGATATACAGAAGATATACAGAAAATAAACTGATCTTGTCATTATATATAGAATATATACAAAAAATATACAGAACATATACAGAAAACGAATTAGACAACAAAATTAAAATTTCATCTCGATTTATATACAAAATATATACGCAAGATATACACCGATTGTCCTTTTCTCACCCGACTTGTCTAATCCCTCAATTTAGGGCTTTCTCATTTGTTTTTTAACATGTCGATCCCCAAATCAAAAGATCTCACCTTTCTCTCATCTCCGGCCATCATCATTCCCAAATCGCCTCTGTCCATAACAACCAAAAACCCTAAAAAATTTAAACAAACACAAACCGATTGCTAGCAATGATCCGAGCAAGAACTGTAATAATTCGATCTGATTTAGAGAAGAAGAGGCCGAGGGAATAGGATGTCGAAGCAGGTACGAACGGCGTTTGTGTGAAGGTGGCTTTTTGATTCAGAGGGCTGAAAGGCTTGCGTTGGAGAGTTGAAGATGGCGCTTGTGGGGTAGAGTTTCTTCTTGGTGAGGATCTCTAGAGGATCTTCAGTTTGCCTTCAATTTGCCTTTTAGCAGTTGCCGTTGTGAAAGGTGGGAGGGGTGCCGAGATCCTGTGCAGCGGGATCTTCCCATCATGATCGACTAAAGGGAAAGTCGCACAGAGATATTGTTCGGTTAGGCTCGCACGTGACAAGAACCTCCTGTGGAAAGTTTATAAAATATGGTAATTTTGCAATTAATGTCATACATCTAGTAATTTTGCAAATAAAAATGATATGTTATGTACAGGGTGTAATTTACTCATTTTTTACAGCGAAATTACATATCAACGAGACCTCTAAGTATCAATCTACATATTTACTACCTTCTAAAAGATTCATCATATCTACGACTTCCTTAACAGATATTATCTTATATACAATAAACAATTAAGTTCCTAAAAAATTAGTGATTAGCGTAACAAACGTGGTTTACCAAATTTGAAAAAAAAAAATCTCATGCCTTTTCTAAAAACAACCCAGACCTTCCACGATCTGTATTCTCTAAAAACCAAGCCACGATCTTTCTGAAAATTGAAGATATTCCACGATTTGGAAAAAGTGGATAACAGATCTTAAACCCAACAGGTATGTAATTTCGCCAAAAAATTTTCTTTTTTTTTTTTTTTCGTGAAACAAGTTGATTTTGTTCATGAACTTATGTGATTATTGTTGTGTGTGCAGATAATGTCGAATTTTATGGCGTTCCTGCACCATAATGGAGTTTGGAAAAATAAACAATACATTAATTTTTAGATGTCGATAAAGATACAACCTTACATATCCCATACTAATTAGAAAAACGTTTTGATTTTATTTTAAT